TTGTGGAGTCTCCCACTCTGGAGACATTCAAAACCCGCCTGGATGCTGTCCTGTGCAATCTGCTGTAGGTGACCCTGCTCTGGCAGAGGTTTGGACTAGATCTCCAGAGGTCCCTTCCAACCCTGATGTTTCTTTGAAAGTAAAGTAAGCAGCCTGTGATGTATATTGGTATATGGATGCTGTTAGAAGGAAAAAATTTGAAGGATTCACTTCCAGCATAGTTTAATGATGCTTAGTCTTTAAAATTTCATTGTGTCTTAAATAACAGATGTGTAAAGTGGTATGTGAAAATTAAATCCACACAGCAAACCTGTGACTGATCGTTATGTGTTTTGACAAATTCACCTTAGCAGTAAGCAAGCAGTTCTAAAAAAAATCATTTCTGAAGAGACACAAGCAGCATGGACTCTAGCAAATAAGTGCCTAGAAAACCCCGAACAAGAATGTAGACTTCTGTCTGGTAGTTTCCTCAGGATGCAGTTGGTAATACTGATACGTAAACTTCTGTAGCACAACTTAGAGGAAGTATTTCCTTTTACTGAGTTTCTGAGAATTGCTAGTTAACTTGAGGCAGAAGTTTTCCACCTTGAAGCCCAGAGCTGTAAAATGGTTGTGCCCATCGTATAGCAAGGAGAAGTACTGTTATATTAATGTTATTAATTGATGATTTTTTTCACTCCCGTGTCATTTAGGTTTTGGCAGACCACCTATTAGTTATAAGAGACAAATAGATGATGATGATGATGATGAATATGACTCTGAAATGGATGACTTCATTGAAGATGAAGGGGAGCCCCAAGAAGAAATATCAAAACATATTCGGGAAATATTTGGCTATGACCGGAAGAGGTAAGAAAAATGTTGATTTTAAGATATTGCAGAACAAGCAACAGAACAACAGAAATTAATATAGTTCAACAAATAAATCTTTTAGAAATAGGGGAAGTGCTGGTATCCTGTGCAGTATACTGCGTCCAGCTCTGGGGCCCCCAACAAAAGAAGGATATGGACCTGTTGGGGTGAGCCTAGAGAAGGTCTGTGAAGATGATCAGAGGGCTGGAGCACCTCTTTTATGCAGACAGGCTGAGACAGTTGGCATTGTTCAGCCTGGGGAAGAGAAGAGAAGGCTCTGGGGAGACCTTATAGCAGCTTTCCCGTATTTAAAGGGGGCCTACAGGAAAGATGGGGAGGGACTCTCTGTCAGGGAGTGTAGTAAGAAGAGGGCTAATGGTTTTAAACTGAAAGAGGGTAGATTTAGATTAGATATTAGGAAGGAATTATCTACTCTGAGGGTGATGAGACATTGGAACAGGTTGCTCAGAGAAGCTGTGGATGTACCATATCCATGGAAATGTTCAAGGCCAGATTGGATGGGGCTTTGAGCAACCTGGTCTAGTAAGAGGTGTCCCTGTCCATGGCAGGGGGGTTGGAACTAGATGATCTTCAAGGTCCCTTCCAACTCTAACCATTCTATGATCCAAAAATGGCTTTGCATTGCAGAAATTTAAGCATTAAAGGCCCTTCTGTGCAGAAGGGACCTTGAATTTTCACACTGCCTGCCATGTTCTATGGAGCAATAAAATTTGATGCATTAGGACGTAGTTGGAAAACAACACAGCTTCTTCAGTGTCTCACCTGTATAACTCATAGCAACTCTTTCCTATTATTGGAGTTAAAATGCTTTTTTCTATAGCAGTCTGCATTATTTCAGAATTCACCAAATGTAGCTGCCTACAAATGAACTGCTAAATGCAGTAGTGTTAGCTGCTCTTTAAGAGGATCTAACTTGGTATGACTAGGAACTGCTGGAAAATGAAGGCTTTTATTTAGCTTACTTAAATACTTCCCTCTTGCCTGACAATAAGATATAAGAAAGCAAGCATTTTAAAGGCTTGTAACTTAGATTCTTTCAAAACATTAAAAACTGTGTAGGTAATCATTCTTTCTAAGAAGGGATGTGAATTCATAACTCAATTGTACATTAGCATGTTGGTTTTAGTGTGCTGAAAACTAATATTTAATTTCCAGATACAAAGATGAAAGTGATTATGCCTTACGTTATATGGAGAGCAGCTGGAGAGAGCAACAGAAAGAAGAAGCTAGGAGGTATGTGTGGATTTAAACTCAGATAGAAAGTGGGAAGTTTGTTTATTGCCCAAGTCATGGGACTAAGTTAGAGTGGGTATTTGCTTTTTATAGCAGAGGTAAATAAGCCTTACCCTTTTTTTTTTATAAGAAAGCATAGGTAAAGATGAAACTCAGCCAACCAATGGTGGAATAGTGGGTGCAGTAAATAAATCTTGTATGTTCATTCTCATGCATCACAAACATTGCTTGTAAAAAAAAAAAAAAAAACCCAAAAAACATACAAACCCAAAAAAAACCCTAAAACTTCAGTTGAAATGCTAAACCCTTCCATTTTTCCCACACATTGCAATATTCTGCTAGTTTGAGGATTTGTTTTGGTTTTGTCTATATACATGTGTTTGTGTATATATTTCTATGTATGTAGGGCTGTTATTCAGCCCTTATTTATTGAAGAGATCAGTGACTGCAGATACTATTTTAAGTATCACTTTCAACACGATGACTTCTAGGAAGCTGAAGAAATTATGCAGGGAAGCAGCTAGAACATGCTGTATTAACAGAATCTCTTCTATGGGCCTCTTCACCAGAGTCATGGCAGCTAGATGGACTGAGGGTGTTTCTGCTTGTAGCTACCTGAATGGTGCCTCAAGCCAAGCAGTTGCAACAAATTCTTTTGGTTCTCTACTGTTTGATATATATCCATTCTCTCCCTTGCCAATATAAAAGGTGTAGGTGATTCTCAGAAGTCAATGAGAATCAGTCCTCCTATGACTTGTATGTAAGAGTTAGTGGCAGGAATTAATGGGTGTGTTTCAAGCAACTTCTTGGGGGGGGGGGTGACCTTTCCTATTAAAATCAGCTGTTTTCACAATTTTAATATTTTTTTAACAAGTTTTAAATAATTTTTCACTCAAAGGATTTGATTCTAATGATAAAATCTTGATTTCTTAAAGCTGTATTCTAGCTATAATTGAAGAAACTGATTGTTGAACTGATCTAAAACTTTTACTCAAATCAGCTGTAATAATTGCTTTTCTTGGGTGGGGGGTAGAAGTCAAATTTCATGTTTCTTGCATAGCAGTGCGTAAAAGATTTCATCTTATTTTGCAGCTTGAGACTTGGTGTTCAGGAGGACTTAGAAGAATTGAGACGGGAAGAAGAAGAATTAAAACGCAAGAGACAGTCTAAGAAGCTGAGGACACGTTAGCCGACTTATGATGTTGACTTTGTTCATGTTTTGCTACCCTCTGCCTCCATACATCTCTTATTCTACTTCAGTTTCCATTTGCTTGTTAGAGGGCAAGAGAATATTTAAAGGGATTAAAGTACTGAAAAGTAAGGCTTTAGTTTGTCCTAAATAAGATATTTATTTTTAATACTTGCCAGGGTTGGTTTTTTATGAAGAAATTAATGCACTAATGCATATTAAGTGGAATAAAATTAATAGATGTTTCCATTGATTAAACCAGTTCAAGATGCCAGCAGAAATATTGACTAGCTATGCACTGACTTGGAACTGTGTGGGCCCATATACCAGTAAACCAATTTTGCATTCACTTGAAAGAAAGGAATAGCATTCTCTGTTCCCTGATATTTCTTGAGACTAAAAAAAAAAAAATTGCTTTATAACCTACTCTGTCTCCCAACTTGAGCCTCGAAGTATTGAAATGTCATCTTCTTGGGTGTAAAATCAGCATTGCCACAGATGTTCAAAGCAATAAAGTACTGTATATTTTCTGATTTGAGGACCCATAAAAATAATTTGAACCTCTTCATTTCTAAGCAGAAAAGTGCATGTCATTCGCAAGTTGTACAGTTATAGGTATGGCCAAAAGGTTATGTTGGCTTTTGCTGTGTCTGGAATTCCAATGCCAATCTAATTCAGTATGATAAATACACACCCTGAAAACAGGAATTTCCAGTGTTTGTATGTAACTTGTGCTTTTGGGCTCAAGTGTATATTTGGGAATTCTTTTCCTGCCCTGTAGATCTTCACATTTGTTTAACAGCTGCTGCTGCTTTTACAAATTGTGTACAGTGCACATGTTTTTTCTTGCATTAAACATCCGATGTGTTAAATGATTTAAAATGTGAAGCAGTCATTTATCTAATTAGGCTTACTATTTAGAAAGCACATCAGAATTATGTTTTGTTAGAATGTATTTGCAGCTCTTAACTATTTAATATTAACAACTTCATGTTAACTACTTGTGATTAACTTCATCAAACCAAAAATCTAAAATGTTATGTATAGCAGGAAAGTTAGTTCAGTTACTTACCTTAATGCCCATATTTGCACACTGTTTCTAACTATGCACTTAAAGACTGTTTCTTTCAGTAACTGAATTTGTTTACAATCAGCACAGGTCAATGTAAGCCTACAGAAGGTTTTATTGAGAGTCTGAAGCTCAAATCTGGTGTTGCATCTACTTTGACTTTCCCAGGTCACCCTTTAAAGCTCACCAGTATCACACTACTCAGCTTTGCCTCAGGCTCCAGGACTCCACTGATAGTTCCTCTGGCTTCAGCTGCTGAAGCTGTTAGTTTTAATGCTAGAAGTATTTGGAAAAGTCCAAAAAGGGCTTTGGGTGTTTGTTGGGAGGTGAGTAAAGGAATGAAAAAGGAAAACTTACCTTGTAGAAAAACAACAAAAGAACCTTTCCTATCAGTGGGGCTGTTCTTAAGTGCTGCTTCTAGGAAGCTGTTCAGATAGCAAGCTGTAAGGAACAATCTTGGAAGCTGCTGAAGTTTAAACATCTGAATCTTAATGTAAGAAAAAACAGATTTGCCTTTTTAAGATGTTTTCAGTCAATGGTGTAGCATTTCACTGCCTCAGTAAAACACTGACATGAGTAAGGTGTTGGGATAGATTCTATAAACTAATTCAGTATTAGCTGACAGGGAGCCCAGATGAAGGTACCATTGTTGCTCCTCTGTATTTTTAACTTTCTATATATTAACTAACAAAACCTGTTTCTCGGTGCATGCACTTGAGACCATGCAAGATAGTGTAACCTCACTGCTTGTCTAGAAGTGTGTTGTATTGACTCTGCTTCATTGGGACCATCTAAAATTTTCTGTTGTAGTTCCTAGAATTATCCATTCAAGACAATGAACGCTGGGACCATGATCAAGTTACTGGGTTTTTTACTATTTAATTCTTTTAGCTGGAGAAAATCTCTGGGTCTGTCAGCCCAGACAGCTATATCAGCTGTGAGCAACTTCCTGCCTGGTTGGGGGAAAAAGTCTCTGTATGAAGCAAAAGAAATATTAATTCAAAATTGGTTCACTTTGGAATTCAATCTGCATTTCAGATAAATATAGGTTAAATGAAACCCGCTTATTTCACCACTTTCTGATTATTTAACCATGCAAGATCAGTTAAATTTCATAATCTGTAAAGCACTTTGTCATTTGTCTTTTAGATGGTGACTGGAATGTACTCTCTTAGCCTCCCTAAGACACTGTATAACTGTTTCTTCACACAGTGATCGTTGCTTAAATTTTGTCCATTTCCTATGAAAAATTATTCAAGGACACATTTGTAATTTTACAGTCAAGAAGTACTTTCTCATAATTGGCATGGGATGCTAATGGCTTTCAAATTTTGTACAAATGTTTGGGTTTTAATGCGTTTGGATTTGCTGCATATTTGTAAATCGGCTAGGAAGGAACTAAATTTTTGGGATTTAATTCCTCACCTTGTATCCCAAGACATGCTTACGCTTTGCCAGATTAATAGTATTAACGAGAGTACTTCAGTACTTGTCCAAAGTGCATCTGAATTTGGGGTTAAGAAAAACTGGAAGAATGCTTATATTGGTTTATGAAGATCTGATGTTAAGCTAATGATTTAATTGTATTTAAAGAAATCCTGGTTTGGTTTTTAGATTTTTAATTCAGTGTTTGACAATGTGCCTTTTTACTAAATTGTGTCAAAAAAATAATGAATGTAGGAGTATAAAAAGGTTGGTCGGTTTCTGCTATCTCAGATTCTATATCCTTAAAGCTTGATAGTGTGAAATGACATACTTCTCATAAAACCCTTCCAGGTCTGGCTTTGATTGCACAATTACGGTAGCTACTTCTTTATTGCTAATGCTAAATCAAATGAAGGGCACTTTCTATTGATGACTACTTTTTGAAAATGTCTTGTACTTACACTTGAGCTGTATTTCACTTTACAGCAATGTCTTTTGGAGGCCAGGGTTTTGCATATCACAGGAAGCCTTAGTGTGCAACTCTGTGCTGTGCTTTAAAATAAAAATCTTTCAAGAAGTATATGAGATCTCTATGGAAATCTGGATTTATTTTTGTGTAAAGCCCAAAATATTGTCCAGGAAAACTAATTTTCTATTTTTTTTGCATTTTGTAACATAATCTAGTAGTTAATGCATATTTCTAGATATAGCATATTTCTGGAGACCAAAACATGTCAGAAAGAAAATAAATATATGGAGAGACTGGTGTTTAAATTGTGATGAATGTACTTCTATTTATTTTGGTGAGTGGGTGTGATGCAATATTAAAGTGTTAGTGTGTAAATAAGGGTGCTTCTAGTTTTAGCCAATTTTTTTTTCTTTGGGGATATCATTTGTGCACAATGTCTTTTTACACAATGTGACAAATCAGGTTAAACTCGTACATAGCTTAACTGTTTTCTGGTGCTGTCAAGAAAGTGTATACTTTTGCACACACCAAACGCATATAAGTTTTGCAGAGTATGTATACAATAAATAACAGGCATTAAACATTTTACTGCTATTTCTCATTGGTTTACTTTATAGAAGATTTTTCAGAATTCTTTTCCGCTGGTTTCCTCTGAGCTGTCACATACAACAGCATTAGGCTGAATGTTCTCCAAGAATTGTTCTCCTGTTCTTGTGCAGCCAGCAAGAATGCATGAAAAATTAATGGAGTCACTTAAGCATTCAGAAAAGAGCTGAAAATTGTCTCCTGCAGTTTAGGCTTGTGACATATATATTTGGAGGTACATGTATTAGAATGGTAATATACACAAGTGTGCCAGTTGCCTTTAATCTCTTCCATTTGGACTGTGGTGTTTTATCCTGCTGTTTCTCAGATTCTCCTATTCCCATGTAAAGAATCTGAACCTCCTCAATTGCTGTGTCCTATGGAATGGTTTTACTGCTTCGACAGGTGGAGGGAGGTACTAGTGACTGTTCTGACCAGCTAGTGCTGTGACCCACTTCCAAACACGTAAATGAACACACATCAAAGTGAGTCCATCTGCCTTTCTTTTGAAAGAGCAATGCTTTCATCCTCTTGTGCTTAAAAATTTTTTAAAAATCATACTGCAAACTAGCATTTAATCAGTGTCCTATGAGTACTTTGTTTTGAAGGCATTAAATCTTACCTTGTTTGGAATTACCTTGTGTGGAATTCTCTTGAGATTTTTTTAATGTATCTTAATAGCTGTAATTGGTCATTATTTCAAAGCAAATATCTTCTGTTCAGGTGGAGCATGATTCTACATTGAGTTATTACCCTAATCCAGCTGGTAAAGCTCTACTTTGGAAGCAATAAAATTATTTTACTGAGGTTTGGGGAAAAAAAAAATAATTACAGGTTTCCCCTTCATTTTAGTTGTAATTTATTTGACATAACACTTTAGTTCTACAAGACAGATCTGCAGTTCAGTCATCCCATAGATAGCCTTTTCTTACCACTTGAAATGCATATGGAAACATGTATTTATATTTCCATGAGCCTAGGGATCCAAAAACCTTTGACATACCATGCTTAACATGCTCTGTGGGATGAAATTAAAGACAGAAGAGGTTCCTGAAGTAACAAAACACATCACCCGTTTAGTCCTAACCTCTCTGTCCGCAACCAGTGAAGGGTTTTGTTTTCCCGAACCATCTGGTGCTCAACTTGCTTTGAGGGTTTTCTCTGTTCTGTTCTTTGTGGGAGTCTTGGTTTTTACCTATGTCCTTTTCCCTGCAACGGCAAATTCATAATTTTTTTTGCACGCTGGATGCATCTTCTGCCTGGTTTCTCAACATTATTCAGCTGAGGAAAGGCAAGCATCTGATGCCATCTCATACTACATGTGTGAAAGCTTATAGCAATTAACAATTTAAAGAAAATCAAGAGCTTTGGTGTTTTTGTTTTTTTTTTTCTTGTTAAAGGAAAGGGCTTGATTCTGACTTGAAAAACACTTGAGTGTAGTGTTCCAGGTTT